GATCAGTCTTTTCTCACACAAAGCTTATGATTAGTTGATTACAATGACTGGAAAAAAAAATTGGGGTGCCTGTGCTCATTGGTGAGCTAGAGCCATTTTTCAACTGACAGAGCTCAATATCAAGGCAAATCCGTCATGTTTTCAATATGCGTGTGCACGAGCATGCATTAATGACGCCATAAATTATCCGCAGTAAGGATGCGTGACGCAAATGTGAGGAATGACCTTAAAACACTTACAGCCTTCTCATCAAACATAATGTCTGGTTCAGGTTCGATCTTTGCTCGTATAACAAAGTTCTCATTTTTTCTCTTATTGAACGCTGCCTCCAGGTGTTGTCTCTCTAACTTGTGTCCAACCCCCATAACCTTGAATGGGAGGTTGTGTAGAACTGTGGAGTCTGAGTCTGCCTCATCATCTTCACTGTCTCCTGAAATGTGTGTATTTTAAAAGTTCTCCTCTGAGGATGGACTGTCTACATATGTTCCTGGCCTCTTGTCAGTTTCATTATTTGATGCTACCACAGTGTCCCACTCCCAAATCACTAAGTATTTTTCATGCTCAATTTCAAGAGAGCATGATGAAAACAAGGTCAACTTAACAGGTGTGTTTAACTGGAGAAGTCTTTGCTCGGATGCGCTGAAGGGTGCCTTGTGTACAACTTCATTTAAACTTAGTTTTGCCGCTCACCACGGACAGTACCGGTAAACATGGAACAGTCCACAGAAATGTCCCCCTGCTCTACACTGACGACTTCTGCAAGTACAGTTGCACTGGGTGGATTAGGTGCAGTTGGAAGTTCTGTGGGGTCTTCTTCTGTTTCTGAAAAAATGTTTAACATACAGAATAGTAATTATTAAATTCTTTACATGTTAACTTTTTAGACTTCAACTCGCAGTTACTTCAAATAGACTGCATAACAATATCCTGAGTAACAAAGGTTGCTCTATTTATTTCTTGTTCAAGTACTGTATATGAGATCAAGTGATGAAACTGTTATAACAATTAACTTAACAAACTGAATTGAAAGGAAAACATGAAACAAATCTTACCTCTGTTGGCAACTGTAGTGAGTGAGAGCATTTCAGTCTGAAAAAAAAAATCAAGTTTGAATATTTGATTAGTGCTTTAAAAAAGCTATTCATGGATGATTTGCAAGTCAATAAGTATTTTAACAAGTTAACATAAGTTGCCCCCTCCCCTTGTTTTCTCTTTTATCTGGCTAAATCCGCACGATGTACTTAATAAAATTAGAATGATTAATAACTGTACAAAACATTTATCTCTTAAAAGTATAGACAATGAACTGGGCCCCTCTCCATTCAATCTCTTTCCCTCTCAGTTGGTCTCAGATTTAATAGTGTCCCATGAAAAATACACTTGGAGCAAATACAACTTAAATCCAAATACCTCAGCACTCGGCAAAGGAAAATCCCTAACTTTTGCTCCAGTTTGGACATTGATATTGCCAATGGCAATGTCAGTTGCAAATCCATCAGTAGGTCTTTCGCTTTACAATGATTTAAGGAAGGTAACAAAAATCATGTCCATTACATTGCCTGCTTTACATCTGGTACACATTGCAATTTGTACTAATCTAGTCATTTAGTATGAAAGGATACTTGCTTCTGGAAAGGAAAAAAACATTAGAGTCATCCCCACTCAGTGGAACCACTTTTCTGGATAATGGATCAAACACTGATTGATGTTGGAAAGTACTGTCGGCCAAAAAAAACTTTTCAAAGTAACTTTCTGGTACAATCAGAGTTGGCATTTTAAGGATTTCCCTGATGTTATGGAGAACCCAACTCATTGC